TGAGCTTTGTAAAAATCGACGCGTTTCAAAAAGGCGGGGCATAGAGGAGAAACAATAATGTACAGTATGTGGAAAATAATGTGTTTTTTGAACCTTAAACCGCATAAACACATTTCATTACACCAAATACACAAAATAATGTTCTTTTTAGCAGCATCATATGACCCCTTTAATATTGCTGCTAAGTGACTTTAAGAGTATTTGGTGGAAACATGTTTAAATGGTGAGGTTTACAGAAGGAGGGTTTGCTAATGTGGAAACAGAGTTTTAGATACCAACAAACAGATTTCTGAATGCTCTGCTCTGTCATTCTTCTGGGTAAGAGATATAATGTGTCTAAAATATGCTGTCATACTGCATTTGGTAGTGATAAGCAAGCTTCTGGCCACAATGCCCATGCTTTTCTTTTTATTAACACTTATATGAAATATGCTGCATAATATTCATTGATTTGTATAAAATCATCAGTGTTAACAAACATATGTTAGGCTGTACACTGTAAATTAGTGATAATGGCAGTAAATTAATCAGAATGGATGCATTTACATCCCAGAGCATTATCTATACAGTTTTAACTTTAAAAAACAACAACAATAACAAAAGTGCTTTTAATGTCATTAAACATGAAAATACTTTTGCTAACATTCCGGTCCTGCTGATAGGAAAGTGTGTGTTTTCACGCGACCGGCTCTTTCTGTGGTTGCAGTAATCTGCCAGTTAAAGACCGTGTTATAGACAGTGCTTCCCCAGTGTATCAGGCCGTCATCCCCAGTGAAACTGATCAACTAGAGCCGGCTGATTGGGCCAAAAGAGCCGCCCAGCTGCAGTCCAAGTCCTTCCGTGTCCTCGCCCACATTACTGGAACTGAATACAGTAAGTCTGCCTTCATGTTTTTGTCACTTTGCTTTTGTTTTGATATAGATTTTGATTTACAGTGTAGAGTCTGACTTGTTCTCTCTTTGTCTTTTCTCTTCTCCTCTGCAGTGCAAGACCCTGATGAGGAAGCTCTAAGAAGATCAAGGTAGGCATCTAGCAGCAGCATCTGGTGGCCACATACTTGACCTGTGCTGAAATCCAGCCCTCTGCCTCTTAAAACTTGAAAGTCTGATCGAAAAGCTGACATATGATCAGATCCCCCAACCAGACCCCCAAAATCAGACACCACTCTCTGTGCTGAACTTGATTCACACTCATTAGATGCATCAATCTAATACAGCTTGTATGTATTCATAGTAGACTGTATCAGGGGTGTAGTACAGAGGATTTGAACTTTTGTTAAAGAGACTGTTACTTGGTAAAGTTTGGGTACTGAAATATAAGAATATGTAGCTGAAATATAAAAATATTTATACTTAATTGAAAGCTTTCACATTTAATTGTACATTAACTTTTACTTATTGTATTTAGAATTAGACGTTGCATTACAAAATGCTTGCTAACCCTGTCTTTGCAAAACTATATGTGACCCTGGACCACAAAACCAGTCTTAAGTCGCTTGGGTATATTTTTAGCAATAGCCAAAAAAACATTGTATGGGTCAAAATTATCGATTTTTCTTTTATGCCAAAAATCATTAGGATATTAAGTAAAGATCATGTTCCATGAAGATATTTTGTAAATTTCCTACCGTAAATATATCAAAACTTAATTTTTGATTAGTAATATGCATTGCTAAGAACTTCAGTTGGACAACTTTAAAGGCAATTTTCTCAGTATTTTGATTTTTTTGCACCCTCAGATTCCAGATATTCAAATAGTTGTATCTCGGCCAAATATTGTCCTATCATAACAAACCATATGGAAAGCGTATTTATTCAGCTTTCAGATGATGTATAAATCTCAATTGATTGTGAAAATTGAATTTGAAAAAATTGACACTTATGACTGGTTTTGTGGTCCAGGGTCACATATACAATCTTTCAAATTGGATGTGCAAATAACATAACATAAACCCAGTTACTTGACGGGAAGGGTTTTGAAATTATTATCCATACAACCCTGGAGCAAACCCCACCTACAGGAATTACGTATTGCAAAACTAGAAGTTCATCCACCTTGAAGAGTGACCCCAAAAGGGCAACAAACATTTTTACTACATAGTGTAGTAAAAATAAAACTGGAGTAACAAGGTGGAAGGGCATTCATAATTACAATTATTAAAGTTATGATATGTATTTTGAGATGTGAAGATTTTCTCTAAATATTTATAATTAAGTATTTAGTTTTAGTAGTACCTGAGTACAAGCACAAATTCCTAAAATTCATAAATTACTACTTATTAATGTTATTACTACATTAGTAAGGGCGTACAGTTACTTAAATACTGTACGTTACACCCCCGGTCTGTGGTACTTACATCAAGCTTTATATTTCATATATCTTTAGCTCTCATTTATTTCACACTGTCATTACTTATCTGACACAATACAATGCAGAATGTGACCTCTGGCATTTAGTTACTTGAACATTTTAGCTCAAGGCAGCCACATTTGTATACACTGACATCTTGGGCAGGGAAGTGAAGGCCATATTCCCTAACCCATTTCTCCACCCTCTCTTTTCTCTTTTTTTCCTTCCCCTTTTGTCTTGTATATATGTCTTGATGTTACAGGGAAAAGTTTGAATCTGAAGCCAAAGGCCCTCGTTTTGCCAAACTGAAAAACTGGCACCATGGCCTGTCGGCACAAATACTTAATGTGCCTCAGTAAAGCACCCCAAGACAGAGAGAGCTAGACAGGTGGCATAGACAGAATGCAGTACTGCTATAACAGGAAAGTCAAAGCATGTGAGAGGAAAGCAGAAAGAATGAAGATGAATGTCAATTATGTTGTTTGGCTCATCACTACAGTTTCAAGCTAGTTGTTCACGCTATAGTATAGATTTAGGAATTGTTCATAAGAGTGTTGCCACCATTTAAATTCTCTCTCTTGTATCAGATTGTTTGCTTACATATTGATGATTGTTGAGAACATCATTGCATCTGTGCACAAGTCTTTTAAATCCATCAAATAAAAGAAATGTGATGAACTAATCATGTGGAAAGGCTTTTTGGCACTGGGATTTGTTTATGCATGGATTCAAAAGATTTATGTCTACAGAAAGGAAATTAACTTTAAACTTTGTATTAAATATTGTTCTTTAAAAATGCCCTAATATTACTATTTAGATATATAGCCTATAGCCTGATAACTTTTTTTCTTACGAAAAGGCTGGAAGTAATCATTCCCATTTTATTCTTGGCCATAAGTTCACAAAGAAGCCGCTCTGCTTTTTAGAATGTGATCAGTGGTTCTCAGCAAGGGGGCCAAGGTCTTGGCAAACTTGTTTAAAATGATTTATTTTAATGATTTAAAACTAATTTTTTTAAATGAAGTTTAGCATTTTAAGAGTTACATTTATTGGAATAGCCAATAAATGTAACTCTTTTAAAATGCTAAAACATGTATGTGTGTATATATATTTGTATGTATATGTGTGTGTGTGTATGTATGTAGTATGTATATATATATATATATATATATGTATATGTATGTATATATATATATGTATATGTATGTATATGTATATGTCAGACCCCCTTAAATTTTTCACTCTTTGTTATATTGCAGCCATTAACTTAAATGATTTTAGCAAATGGCTGCAATATAACAAAGAGTGAAAAATTTAAGGGGGTCTGAATACTTTCCGTACCCACTGTATATATATATATATATGTATATATATATGTATGTCTCCCCTCAATAACAATTTTTTTTATTGGAGAACATACAGAATCAGAACATTGAATCTTCTGGAATCACAAAATTCATTAAATTAAAAATTGTATTATTTACATTTTAAAACATTTATTTAAAAAAATTTAAAGCGAGCAGTGTTGTCATAATTACGTCAGAAATACCAGAGGAAATATCTTAGGCTTGATGATACACTGGGCAACTTTTTGAGCAATGTTGCTGGCCAACTTTGGGAAATGTTGCAGTCAATGGGCAACCAGGTGAGACACAGGGCCCACGACCGATCTAAAATATCCAGATAGAAATATGTTACCCATTCTCAATGGAAAAGTGCCCAAGCAACATTGCTCAAAAAAAGTTGCCTGGCAAAATTGCTAAAAAAATTGCCCCGTGTATCATCAGCCTTAGACAGTATGGGGGGCCTTTGAATAATATTTTGGACAATGGGGATCCTTGAACCACTGAATTAGATCATTTGTTATTTGACCTTTTTCTCTGTAGATCTAAGAATCTAAACTTTTGATTCTGTGATAGCATTTCAGTGATTACGTAGGGCAGGTTTGTTTAAAAAGTTTAGCAAATGTTGAAATCGCTTGCACATGCAGTCAGTTTTATTCCAGGAGTCATTTCTTATCTGTTGAAAAGCTAAATCCTGACAGACAGTAAAAGCTTTCACTTTAGACCAAACTTCAAATCACCAACACTATTATCTCTTTGAAGATTTTTTTTTTTCATTGATGTTCTGAACTTGTCAGACATTTCTTACTTAAGCCTGTGGTTAAATATTAGACTGCCTATGGGTTTCAAGTGATAAGGATGTTGATCTGTCAGTCAGTTGTCTAACTTTGCATATGGCACTGATCTGGGATGAGAGTGGAAAAATGTTGTTACTCTGACAGATCACTATTTTAGAATCCAATGGTTCTACTTTGAGAAAATGAGGCTGTTAGTAAGACATTACGGTGGGAGTGTACATTTTATTTGTGTAGGAAGAGTAATAACCCTTAGCTAGATGAGTGGTGGCTGAAGGGACAAGCTCTGTGTCTGGAGGATGAGCGAAGGCGCGTGAAGCCATCAGAACTTCAAGCGGTTGAGCATGATGGATGTCAATGTCTGTGAGTAGAGAGAGTCTATAAACCAGGACTTTTCCTCCAGGTAATTCTGCCTGTCTGGTTGTCACATAGGGAAATGGTGTTAGCACTGCTTTGGGCTGGTTTGCGCTAAATTTTTATTTATAGCATAGAATTATGCCTCCGCTAACTTGTCCTTCTCTCATACCATTTCACCACTGGTTTACTTCACTTCTGAGCCTCCCACTTGCATGCAGTGCATGCTGGGAAGACTGTGTGACCGCACTGGAGTGCTTGTGGCCCTGGGTGGCTGGCCCCTCCCTCACTCTTCATCCTTGTCATATTTATTCAGATCTCTGCCTTCATGTACATATGAACACGTCATGCTAGGTCGACATATGTTGCATCAGTTAGCTCTTTTGTATGTAATGCTGTAATTTTCTTCATATTTTCAGTCTCCAACTTTTCATCAGACACTTCTCACTTGACTGAAACAAAACAGTCATTTCATTGCACATCACTGCAGTGCTGTTTCCTGCTGTCCATTAAGTCGTATGTTTGTTTTGCTCGTTCCGCCAAGGATTTTGTTTTCAATATGTCTTATCAAGTTGGAACTTTATTGCTATCAGTAATTTGATGCTTTTTTCTTTTTTGGTTCTATAATTGTAAGCAAACAGTATCAGATTGTTTGCTTACATATTGATGGTTGTTGAGAACATCATTGCATCTGTGCACAAGTCTGTGATGGACTAATCATGTGGAAAGACTTTTTGGCACAGGGATTTGTTTAGGTGTGAAAGTATGCATGGATTCAAAAGATGTATACAGAAAGGAAATTAACTTTAAACTTTGTATTAAATAATGTTCTTTAAAAATGTCCTAATATTAATATTTAGATATATGACCTGTAGCCTGATAACTTTTTTTTCCTATGAAAAGGCTGGAAGTAATCATTCCCATTTTATAATTGCAGTTTTATTTTATTAATATTTATATACTATTATGGTATTTATTTATATTTTGAATTTTACTTTTTTATTTTCATTTTGTTTTTAGTTAAAATTTTAGTAATTGCATTATTTTTATTAGTTTTCCAATTTAGCTTTAAATTATTTTTATTGCAGTTTCAGTTTAGTAACTTCAACTTATTTTAATTAGTTTCCAAGGCCACATTTCTAATTTTCAATTCCAAAGTTTTTTTTAAGGTTTTCTTACATGTTTTATATTTAGTTAATGTTTCACATTCACATGCATTATATTATATTATATTATATTATATTATATTATATTATATTATATTATATTATATTATATTGTGTATTGTGCTTATATTGTGCTTATATTATTGTACTTTTTAAATATTGAAATGTCAAGCCAGCAGAGTGCCACCATTTTTTTCAGTTGGTCACAGAACAATGATTTTGGTGTTTTGTGACAAATTTCTCTTTTCCATAATGCAAATATCTCGTCTTTAGTGTCAGATGTGATCCAAGCAGCTTTGTATGAATCTGTTGAATCTTCATTGTTGTATTGTTCTACTAGTCTGTAGTCTTTATACGCTATGTGTTGCAATCATTCAGTGTGAATTACTTCTTTAGTATTTAACAACCTTTTTTCACTAATTTATCTATTTAATTATGGATAGTCTCTACCCTTGTTAAAACGCCTCTCCATAATTCTCTGCATAATATTAAATAATTAGTTTGGTGTTTTTAACCCATCTTTATAAAGGTCATTTTCTGTCATGCATGATTGTAAGATACAAAAGTGGCCAAATTAGCCTTTTTTTTAAAGCTTTCAAAGAAACACATAAGTCTTTGCCGTAACTTGATACCCAGTCATATATGTCTTCCTGTATGTTAACAGGTTTCTTTAATAAAAGGACTTAATATTTTCCTCAAAACGGTTATAAATGGAAACAAATGTTTAATACTTAATTCTGCATGGGTTGTAAACCAGAACCTATCCAACATTCAAAGCTTTACAGTCCCTCCAATGTGTCCTGTGTGTGGTTGTATGAATATTTCATATTTCATTCAATATTTATTCAGTCTTTCTTCACAACCCTCTTCTATGCCAATTCCGTTTGCTAATTTGCATGTAAAGAGAAGATAGTCTACATGTTAGGCTGCTTTTCATGAGAATGTGTTGCACTAATCCGCTTTAGGATGAGAACACATTTTTCCCTATGTCCAAACTATGTGTCAAGCATATAATGCCAGCAAGGTGGCACTGCAGTATCTTGTCTGAATTACCCTCTGCCTGTCTTGACTCTCTTTGTCCTCTGGGCCTGGTCCATTAAATAGCGAGTTACACGTTTGCAAGTAGTTTAGTACATGTTTCAGTTACAACCCCTCTTTCTGAAGGCGTTGTCTGCTTCTGTGATCTGTATTTCATTGTTCTCTGAATCTGTGCTGAGATTCAAGATTTTGTTAATATAGCTAAACCAGAGTTTGACAGCCTAGCTAGCTGATGAATACAGTGATTAGGACTTTATGATCTATATAGTGTTTGTGTATGTGTGTGTGAGAGAGAGAAAGACTAGAGTCATGTAATCAGTGATGTAATCATAATTTCTTAAGATATCATTTTTGGTTTGTTTGTGTGTAGACTTTCTCTAATTTCAGTCTCTCACAGCTTGCAATAAATGCTAATCTGTGTTTGCTTTCTGCCACCACACACCTCTCCCAAAGCCCCTCCAATACACACATACATGCTCCTCTTACATTATACACTTAAAATAACAGAGAGGGATTCAATACACATACAAGTTCACCACAGAAAGTGTTTAAATCTTCGTGAAGGCTTCATAAATGTCTGCAACCAACATTTACAGACCTTTCTCTCTGTTCCATAACCATAACTCAATATGAGCCACAGAATGACATTAAAGCTGAAGTGTGTAATTTCTGAGCCAGTAAGATCACAAATTGGAATTGCAAACGTAACTATTTTTATACAGGTTTCCAGAACATTTTCCCTCTTTTTTTATTGGTCGGACAAACAGATAGTCCTGTTCCAAAATCATACCAATCTAAAAAATCACACATTTCTGTATCAATCATATTGTACAAATTCATATGAAATCACTACTTTGTAAAATAGTTGCATGAGACTGGGTTGGTTGCCAATGTTGCTGTGTTGGATTGGTCGTAAACGTGGGGTCAGTCGACAAAAAAACCTACAAATGGTTTACTTATAGGTATTTGTGCAAATTAGCATGGACTAAATACAAAAAAATAATCAGACACTTCAGCTTTAAATGCTCTCTTTATTTCATCTTTTACCTCACTCTTTTCTATGGGCTTTTTCAACATAAAATGAGACCGGAAGAGAGAGAGAGATGGTCAGGAAGGATGGTTGCGGAGTGTGTGAAGGGGGTCAGCCATCGGTCCACCACCAGGCCTGCTGCTGCTAGGTGCCTGCCTTTTATCTTCTCTCTCCTGCCTGGGCGGCTCCAACATCAATCTATTTTCATCATTCATTTGATTGTGTTGATTATGTAGAGGGGATGCCAATTGATTAAAGAAATGTCTATTTGTGAATAATGCACTTTTCTTTACTTGGATCACAGGGGAGTATTATTTAACACTAATCTACTGCTCTCTAACCACTGAATTGTATTTTATGGACAGACTAAAAGGGTTTATGTAACCTACGTATAAACCCCGCGTCATTGTAAAATGATGAGGTCCTGCCATATGCAGTTCATTGCCCCTGTTTGAGCACATGATTGATTGTAGCCCTTATGTCTGGATTCATTTAATTCATCCTAGAAAAGCACTTACAGTTGTCTCAGCTGCTGAGACACCAATGTATAATACAGTCCGGTCCTTCTTCACAGCTCAAATGGTGACTCATACCAAATCGATAGTTCATAGTCTTTTATGTTACAGTTTTTACAATCCTTCAATGACAAAATAGATAAGTCTAATGAGAGTAAAGCAATTAACATTTCTTTCCCCCATGATGGACATCCTTGCATTCTGCTCAGAATTGTTGTAAGCATGAGAATGAAACAGCTGCTTCTAACAAAATTTAACTTAAATTAAGCCATATATACATACATGGCCTGAAACACGGCTGCTGTCTGTATTTATGGCTTGACATCAGCTTAACATCAGTTTCTGACATCACTGCAACCTAACCTTGTATCTAGTACTCCGGCTGAGCATGCTTCAGTTTTCACCAGTATTGCACCTGTCTGTCCGCCTACTATTGCTGCTTTGCCCAATGAGCTCCTTTCGGAGCTGCAGATAGCCAGTCAGGCACCCAAACCTGATGCGGAGCAGATTCCTGAGCAAACTACTGTAGCCAGGTAAAGTTGCATGCGTTGCATTTTATGCTTGGTTTATTGTATTCCTCATTGGTATGTATATGTGCAATGCATACGCAAAAGATTGTGATCAGTAAGATTTTTATTGACTTTTATTCAGCAAGAATGCATTAAATTGACCAAAAGTGACAGTAAAAACTTTTATAATGTTACAAAAGATATTAAATTTAAGATTGTATTGCAGTCATCAAAGTATGCTGGAAAAACACATTTGTTTCCACAAAATATTAAACAGCACAACTGTTTTCAACATTGATTATAATGAGAAATGTTTCTTGAGCAATAAATCAACCTATCATAATGATTGCTGACTGAACACTGGAGTAATGGCTGCTGAAAATTCAGCTTTACAAACTCAAGTGTAAATGACATTATCAAATCTATTACAGTAGAAAACCGTTATTTTAAATTGTAATAATATTTCACACTATTAATGTTTTACTGTGTTTTTGATCAAATAAATGAAGTTTTGTTGAGAACAAGAGACTTCTTTCGAAAACATTTAAAAATCAAAAAAGTTTCTGCTGTTTTTTGTTGTTGTTTTTTTTGTATGTTTGGGATTTTCATTCCTAATTTTACTTTTTTGAAAAAGAACACGGTTTAAAATTTGATTACTTGCAGGTCATTTGTTTGGCTGTGTAAAGGACATTTGTTTGGCTGTGTGTAGTATTAGTGAGTTGTTTCAGTTTTAATTAACTTCTGTTAGTGGAGACACGTGATAGATGTTATAGAAAATTAACTATTGATATTAGATTTTAACCTAACATTTGACAGATTGTAGGACAAAGTCAAATTGTGTTAGAACAGAGAGTCTCCATTGATCCTGGAGACTCAAAGCAAAGCCAATCCTCCAATCCTATTAATGTTATAATCAATGACTTTAATCCTCTAATATGATCTTCTTTGTCTTAACCCAATTTCTTGTTGCAGCTGCTGCTTCATTTGCTACAGCTTATTATTACTAATACCCTTCCCCCAAAGGAAACTAGAAACTCATATTTGATTGAATCCATGTCGTCAATGACAGGATGGCTGTTGATTTTGGCCTTCTGCTTTTATGAGTGGCGTCTCTTTATCATCACATTGTTCAACAACAAGACTTGACCCAAATAAAAACCTCCCTAGACTTCCATGAACTACTTTTTAAGCTTAAGATCGCCATAAGCACTTGTATGTGCCATCATCTTGTGTTACTTCAACAACAAAAGTAAGAACAGGTGTTAATAAAACCAGAGATAAAGTTACTTAATACGTTTCCTCTGGGGATTGAGCATTAATTTTCCTTACATGTTTTTTTTTCTTTTAATGAGGTACTACTACACCCGATGATGTAATGTAACCCTCAAGCATTTTATTTGCTTTTTTGATAAGTCTCTAACAGTCCCAGTCAAGTCTCAGATCTCGAAGTTAACCTTATTTTATGAAATCTTTTTCAATTTCTTAAATGTAATATTAAATGTTAATAATATTAAATATGTATTATTTCTAGAGATTTCGTTTTATCTTTTTAACCAAGTCATAAGTCAGTTTTTGAGACCTAAGTGTGAGTTTTCATATCTGGGCATTGAAACATGTTGCTGTGTTGGATTGGTCGTAAACGTGGGGTCAGTCGACAAAAAAACCTACAAATGGTTTACTTATAGGTATTTGTGCAAATTAGCATGGACTAAATACAAAAAAATAATCAGACACTTCAGCTTTAAATGCTCTCTTTATTTCATCTTTTACCTCACTCTTTTCTATGGGCTTTTTCAACATAAAATGAGACCGGAAGAGAGAGAGAGATGGTCAGGAAGGATGGTTGCGGAGTGTGTGAAGGGGGTCAGCCATCGGTCCACCACCAGGCCTGCTGCTGCTAGGTGCCTGCCTTTTATCTTCTCTCTCCTGCCTGGGCGGCTCCAACATCAATCTATTTTCATCATTCATTTGATTGTGTTGATTATGTAGAGGGGATGCCAATTGATTAAAGAAATGTCTATTTGTGAATAATGCACTTTTCTTTACTTGGATCACAGGGGAGTATTATTTAACACTAATCTACTGCTCTCTAACCACTGAATTGTATTTTATGGACAGACTAAAAGGGTTTATGTAACCTACGTATAAACCCCGCGTCATTGTAAAATGATGAGGTCCTGCCATATGCAGTTCATTGCCCCTGTTTGAGCACATGATTGATTGTAGCCCTTATGTCTGGATTCATTTAATTCATCCTAGAAAAGCACTTACAGTTGTCTCAGCTGCTGAGACACCAATGTATAATACAGTCCGGTCCTTCTTCACAGCTCAAATGGTGACTCATACCAAATCGATAGTTCATAGTCTTTTATGTTACAGTTTTTACAATCCTTCAATGACAAAATAGATAAGTCTAATGAGAGTAAAGCAATTAACATTTCTTTCCCCCATGATGGACATCCTTGCATTCTGCTCAGAATTGTTGTAAGCATGAGAATGAAACAGCTGCTTCTAACAAAATTTAACTTAAATTAAGCCATATATACATACATGGCCTGAAACACGGCTGCTGTCTGTATTTATGGCTTGACATCAGCTTAACATCAGTTTCTGACATCACTGCAACCTAACCTTGTATCTAGTACTCCGGCTGAGCATGCTTCAGTTTTCACCAGTATTGCACCTGTCTGTCCGCCTACTATTGCTGCTTTGCCCAATGAGCTCCTTTCGGAGCTGCAGATAGCCAGTCAGGCACCCAAACCTGATGCGGAGCAGATTCCTGAGCAAACTACTGTAGCCAGGTAAAGTTGCATGCGTTGCATTTTATGCTTGGTTTATTGTATTCCTCATTGGTATGTATATGTGCAATGCATACGCAAAAGATTGTGATCAGTAAGATTTTTATTGACTTTTATTCAGCAAGAATGCATTAAATTGACCAAAAGTGACAGTAAAAACTTTTATAATGTTACAAAAGATATTAAATTTAAGATTGTATTGCAGTCATCAAAGTATGCTGGAAAAACACATTTGTTTCCACAAAATATTAAACAGCACAACTGTTTTCAACATTGATTATAATGAGAAATGTTTCTTGAGCAATAAATCAACCTATCATAATGATTGCTGACTGAACACTGGAGTAATGGCTGCTGAAAATTCAGCTTTACAAACTCAAGTGTAAATGACATTATCAAATCTATTACAGTAGAAAACCGTTATTTTAAATTGTAATAATATTTCACACTATTAATGTTTTACTGTGTTTTTGATCAAATAAATGAAGTTTTGTTGAGAACAAGAGACTTCTTTCGAAAACATTTAAAAATCAAAAAAGTTTCTGCTGTTTTTTGTTGTTGTTTTTTTTGTATGTTTGGGATTTTCATTCCTAATTTTACTTTTTTGAAAAAGAACACGGTTTAAAATTTGATTACTTGCAGGTCATTTGTTTGGCTGTGTAAAGGACATTTGTTTGGCTGTGTGTAGTATTAGTGAGTTGTTTCAGTTTTAATTAACTTCTGTTAGTGGAGACACGTGATAGATGTTATAGAAAATTAACTATTGATATTAGATTTTAACCTAACATTTGACAGATTGTAGGACAAAGTCAAATTGTGTTAGAACAGAGAGTCTCCATTGATCCTGGAGACTCAAAGCAAAGCCAATCCTCCAATCCTATTAATGTTATAATCAATGACTTTAATCCTCTAATATGATCTTCTTTGTCTTAACCCAATTTCTTGTTGCAGCTGCTGCTTCATTTGCTACAGCTTATTATTACTAATACCCTTCCCCCAAAGGAAACTAGAAACTCATATTTGATTGAATCCATGTCGTCAATGACAGGATGGCTGTTGATTTTGGCCTTCTGCTTTTATGAGTGGCGTCTCTTTATCATCACATTGTTCAACAACAAGACTTGACCCAAATAAAAACCTCCCTAGACTTCCATGAACTACTTTTTAAGCTTAAGATCGCCATAAGCACTTGTATGTGCCATCATCTTGTGTTACTTCAACAACAAAAGTAAGAACAGGTGTTAATAAAACCAGAGATAAAGTTACTTAATACGTTTCCTCTGGGGATTGAGCATTAATTTTCCTTACATGTTTTTTTTTCTTTTAATGAGGTACTACTACACCCGATGATGTAATGTAACCCTCAAGCATTTTATTTGCTTTTTTGATAAGTCTCTAACAGTCCCAGTCAAGTCTCAGATCTCGAAGTTAACCTTATTTTATGAAATCTTTTTCAATTTCTTAAATGTAATATTAAATGTTAATAATATTAAATATGTATTATTTCTAGAGATTTCGTTTTATCTTTTTAACCAAGTCATAAGTCAGTTTTTGAGACCTAAGTGTGAGTTTTCATATCTGGGCATTGAAACCCAAATCCAATGGGCCTTTGACAACCAGTTTTCGTGTTTCTTAAAGGGATAGTTCATCCAAAAATGAACCCTCAAGCTATTCTAGATGTATATGACTCTCATCTTTCAGACGAATACAATCAGAGTTATATTAAAAAATGTCCTGGCTTTTCCGAGCTTTATAATGGCAGTGAATGGGGTTCGAGATTTTGAAGCCCAAAAAAGTGCATCCATCCATCATAAAAAGTGCTCCACACTGCTCCGGGAGTTAATAAAGGTCTTCTGAAGTGAAGCGATGCATTTGTGTAAAACTATCCATATATACAACTTTATAAACCGCTAACTGTTGTACGCACGTTCACTAGACAGTAGCGTTCCAGCATATGACGTAGGACATAGGCGTAGCATAAGCTCTGTTGAGAAGTAACGATTACGAACACAGAAGCACAGCGGAGAGAGCAAACCAAAACACCGGTCACGATTTTGAAGTACAAAACGAGGATTTGTAAAGAAAAATGGCAGAGGATTACACTACGCCTACATCATCTGCTGGAATGCCACTCTCTAGTGAACGTGAGTATGACAGTTAGTGGAAGTTAGATATTATGGTTTATAAAGTTTTAAATATGGATATTTTTCTTACACAAACACATTGCTTCAGAAGGCCTTTATTAACCCCCCAGAGCCAAGTGGAGTACTTTTATGATGGATGGAGACACTTTTTTGGGCTTCAACATTTTGACCCCCATTCATTGCCATTATAAAGCTCAGAATAGCCAGGACATTTTTTTAATTGTATTCGTCTGAAAGAAGAAAGACATTACACCTAGGATGGCTTGAGGGTGACTAAATCATGGGATTGTTTTCATTTTTGGGTGAACTATCCCTTTAAGTAAGTTTGTTTTTTTGACATGGCAGAAACTCTTTGCATGTATCCATTGCTTACACTGACACAGCAGTCTTTCACAGCAGTTTATCATATGCAGACTGGAGTGAACTTCATATTTTCAATCTAAACAAATAATCAAATAATGGTAACACTTTAGAATAGGGAACACATATTCACTGTTAATTAAGTGTTTTCCCTGGATAAACTCCTAATTTGCTGCTTATTAATAGTTAGTAAGGTAGTTGTTAAGTTTAGGTATGGTGTGGATTAAGGGATTTAAAATATGGCCATGCAGAATAAGTTATTAATATGTGCTTTACAAGTACTAATAAATAGCCAGTATGCTAGTAATATGCATGCTAATAAGCAGCTTGTTAAAAGTGAGAAGATTTAGATGACTATCTTTCATTTGTCTCCTACTGCAGCAGGTGATTGAGCCAGCAGCTGACATAAAGACTATTAAGTTTCAGGTCCTCTCTGTTAGACTCTGTTAGCCCTGAAATATATGAATCGTGTTAAATTAATTTTTTACTAGCTACTAAAATATAGTTGTTGGTACATGGTGGATCTTTGCTTTGAACGCATATGTTTGTTTTCTGTTTTGTGTGTGTCTGCATGTTTTATGTTTTGCTCATGGTCTGATTGTTGCCATGTTCACTCATATTGTATTGTACTCATACTGTTGTTATATTCAGACAAAACAAGAACAGAATACATATTTGGCAAGTATTTAAAGAGTTACTGCATATTCAGTTAATTTCCATATGTATTTTGGAAATCCAAAGTATCTGAACCTGTTTGTCGTACAGATATGAGTGCACATGTCCACTCTCTGGTTCATTCTAGGCATGATACGTTTGACTGTCCACCATTTTTGTCTTTGTTACATTATAGCTTCAACTTGCAGACCTCTATGGGTTACACTTCCCAGTACAAAACCTCCATCTCCAGGTACTGCTGTGGTCCAGCTCTGTATTCAATTAGCAAGTGTGTTTTCTCCCTCCCAGTGTCAGTGTGGCCTGTCACATGTGCCATAACACATCTTTTCCTCCTTTCTGCTTCTTTTAGCCAACTTACCTAAAGGATAATACTTATGCTTGGGGTATTGTTCTTTAGCTATCAAGTTGTAACCATCTATATGTGTCTTTATGTATATGCATGGAAAAGATTTGTGTAATTTTACTCAAATTAATGGAGGCTCTCTCTTCTAACACTGTTGTTTTTTACTAGACTGTCTTTTTCTTGTGCACTGCGCTGTTAAAATAACACAAATTTTTGCATTAAAATTGTGATGAAGGGATTTAAGGTAAGACATCTTCAAATGTGTATGTGGTTATGTGGTCAGACATCCTTGGGTAATATTAGCAGTAATATCAGTCTCTGAGAACTGAATGTGCATCCAAACTTATAGTCAGTAACTCATTTAAGACTGTGGACAGCTAAAGTTACCAAAGGAAATATCACTCTTTTTCTATTTGTAGATATTTAGAAGACTATAGATACACAAGAGAAAAACAGCTGACATACTGTAAAAAATAAACAACCTTAGGAAAAACTTATGACAACTTTTTGGGTAATGTGTCATGTGGCGTTTAATTCTTGCCCTTTCTGCATGTTTACACTTGCAGCTTTATAGTGACAGATGTGCAGAACATTTTATTATTATAGATTTTGTACATGTTTCTGTATAGAGATATGTACCACATATTTAAAAATTAAAATACAGTTACAGTTTGCACACAGTACGTATGTTTGGTGCAAATACGAATATGGCAAATACATAATTTCACAGAGAAAAGAAATATGGGCATCAATGGGTTAAGTCTAGTAAAACATGTAGTAGCTCTTTATAAAACATCAACAATATAATTATTATATATTACAATTATAATTAATAAAAACTAAAGCATCTGCCAAAAGTGTAATGTGAATGTTTTAGACTGATCAGGAAAAGTTTAAGTAGTTAGGAAAAGCAGAAAGGAGGAGTAGCTTCTCATTTGAACTGAAATGTTACTGAGTTTCTGGTCTGTTCTTCTGTAGTTCTTACACCCAGCCTCCACCTATGCAGCAGCCGCCACCACCCATGCAGCACAGCTCCATCCAGATCCCTCTAGGTCCACCTCCATCTAAAGTGGTCAGCACTGCCACCATTGTGCCCGCAGCCTACCCATCTGCCCCAGGTAGCCATTGCACATACAGTGGGTATAGAAAAGAATCACTTCCTTTAAAATAATCACATTTTGTTGCTTTGCAGCCTGAAATGAAGACGGACACAGTTTTTGTTTTATCCAGCTGTATTTACTCAGTGCAACTTATATCATCCAAGTGAAAGATATAACACCAACATGTCAGAAAAAAACTAAAATAAAAAACAGAATCACTGAGTTGGAAGAAGGATCACCCCCTCGAGTCAGTATTTTGTTGAACCACATTTTGCTTTAATTACAGTCTGTTGGGATCTGTCTCTACTAACTTTGCACAACTAGACTTTGCAATATTTGCCCACTCTTCTTTGCAGAACTGCTCAAGTTCAGTTAAATTTGATGGTGACCGTTTGTGGACTGCAGTCTTCAAGTCATTCCACAGATTTTCAATGGGGTTTAAGTCTGGGCTCTGACTAGACCATGCAAGGACATTCACCTTTTTCTCTTTCAACCACTGTGTGCTCAGTTTTGCTGTGTGTTTTGGGTCATTGTCATGTTGGAAGGTAAATCTTCTTCCCTTTGACAACTTTCTGGCTGAGGGCTCAGATTTTCCTCAGGAATTTGACAGTATTTTGCCCCATCCATTTTTCCTTCTATCCTGACAAGTGCTCCAGTCCCATAACAGGATATTACCACCTCCATGTTTTACTGGAGGAATGCTGTTATTTGGATGGTGAGCTGTATTGGATTTCCACCAGACATATCGTTTGGTGTTGAGGCCAAATAATTCAATTTTAGTTTCTTCTGACCATAACACATTTTTCCATGTGGCCTCAGAATCTTCAAGGTGTGTTTTGGCAAAGCTCAGTCGTGACTGCATGTGGCATTTTTTGAGGGGTGTTTTTGGCAAAGCTCAGTCGTGACTGCATGTGACCTTTCTTGAGGAGTGGTAATTTCTTGCAACCCTCCCATATAAGCTACATTTGTGGAGAATTTTTGATGTTGTTGTCACATGCACACAATGTCATAAATTCCTGCAGCTGCTTCAGAGTTGCTGTAGGCCTCTTGGTCGCCTCTCTGACCAGTTTCCTCCTGGCTCTTTCATCCAGTTTGGAGCGACGTCCTGATCTAGAGAGGGTCTGTGTTCTACCAAATACCCTCTACTTCCTAATAATAGACTTCACTGTGCTTCTAGCCATTGATAAAACCTTTGAATTTTTTTTTCCTGTCCACAACTTTATCCCGGAGATCTTTTGACAGTGCCTTGCCACCCATAGTTGATAATTTGCTTCAGTTGCACTACCAAGGACTGAAATGCTCCAGGAAAGCTATTTTCATGCTGAGCTAATAAAAATCACCACAGCTGATCAAAGTTGAAAGTCAAATGCCATTGAGAAAGTGATTAGTTACACCTGACTGAGTTTACAAGTCATTTTTAGGAGGGGGGTGATCCTTTTTCCAACTCAGTGATTCTGTTGTTTTTTCTTTTCTTTTTTTCTGACATGTTGGTGTAACCCTGGGTAAACTTGGGTTAATTAAACATTTACGTTATTTCTAGAGTGATTAATCCCTGTGTATTTTGATTGTAAACATTCATGTTTAAGTTTGTTACTGTGTTTATTTTTAAGAGTGGTCACCTATATTATGTTATATCTTTCACTTGGATGTTATAAGTTGCACTGAGTAAATGCAGCTGGATAAAACAAAAACTGTCTCTGTCCTCATTTCAGGCTGCAAAGAAGCAAAATGTGATTATTTTAAAGCGGTTATATGAAGCAATTTCAAATTTTCCTTTCTCTTTGGAGTGTTACAAGCTGTTGGTGCATAGATAAGATCCCTAAAGTTGCAAAGACTAAAGTCTCAAATCCAAAGAGATATTCTTTATAAAAGTTAAGACTTGTCCATGCCCTCCTAAAACGCCTCGTTTAAACACGCCCCCACATGTCACACGTGAGAAGCTGAGCTGAACAAACGTTCACTGTCTACGGTTGTGCAGGGTGTGGACAGGTACACTCGCGCAGGAAAGCGGCTCTTATTTGTGCGCCAGTACACCAACGGCTGTTCGCTTCTTGGTATCTGTGCCTCAGACAGGTAGCTCTGCATTTCCAGTGCTGTACGGCTGCCCGTATCCTTAATCACTTCATATTTTTCTTCCAATATCTCATCGTGCATCGCCAACAGTGCGCTTGCTCTGCGTGGTATTTTTTCTGCTGGCGACTCTGCACACTTCCGGAAAAATCGGACGAAAAAAATACAAAAAACCGGCCGGTTGCCGATCGCGCATTATAAGCAAAAACCGGCCGGTTCCGATTTATGGCCGGTCAACCGGTGCATCCCTATTTGTAAGATTAGTAGACTAATAAGTTACAAAATTTTGTTGACATGTTAATCAAATTAGTTGTCACACACATCCCTGTTGTAAACATGAATTTGCAAAGCCCAAAGTAATCGAACTGTCCCCAGAAAAAATAAGAAAAACATGCACAGATTCAGTATTTTCGTTTGGACAACATTCGGTGTAAAAATATGGAAATAAACACTCTCAACTTCTCACAGCAACAACGACGGGAGCGTGAGATGAGACGGCAGCAGGAGCGGGAGCAGAGACGCAGGGAACAGGAGGACAAGAGCC